TGTAGCCCAGGTTGGAACCCAATGGGACTGGGTTATCTGGGCTATCTTTATCCGAGAAATGCACCAACACTTCGGAGTTTACACCACAAAACAGGAATTAAAGACGTAGTTGATTAGGAGGTGGAATAATATAGACTCGGACAATATTCAAAATGCTATGAAGATTAACAAAGTGACCTCGACAGGTAAAGTTTATGGGAGGTTCAACCCTTTCGTTACGGTTAAAAATCGCTTTTTCGATATATTTTCGTTAAAATTAAAGAAATGTGATGAAATTCCGTATTTCGACCTTTCATTTGGTTGCTGTCTAGATTCTCAAAAACGGTGATGATGATCGTGCATGTAGCAGTGGAGATAGTCCAAAAAATCTAGGGGGGTGCAATACTTTTGTCACGGGGGTGTACTGCCTATTATTTGACGATAATTTCTTTGCATTTATTAAATATACAGTTTTACAACCGATTTTGATAAAATAGTTTGACCAGTCGAAGGCTGTGATTCAGTAAGTTAATTGCTGCTGGGTTTGGTCATTCCCGTCTGACGCTCACTCGATCAACGGTCTGGTGGGTGATCCGAATGCGAAAGGCACAATGCCATCGATGTGACCTATTTCAGCTGATAGAGCGTGGATGGCGTCCATTCGTGGTTTTCAAATCCCACCGAGGCTGCTGAACTTTTCACAATTAGTGGTGGCAGGTTGTCTCTGCCGTCGCCCGGCTCACTACCACACCTGATCTATTGAAGCCTTGAGTGGTCCGCCATTCCAAGTTTCAGGATCATGGTTGCCGGTTCCCTCACAACATAAACATGAATAAACAAAATCACGAACGCTCACATACTCTCGCTCGCTCTACATACTCAAACTGTAAACACGCACTCATCACCCCCACCAACATTCGCGGACTGAACCGCAATGTTGATTCTGTACACCATTTTCTCTATTCTTCTCCGCTCGCCCTTTTTTTGACCGGAACACAAATCCCCCCTCGTCAGACACCATCCACCTTCAATTCCCCAACTACACTCTCCATTCCTCCTTTCTACCCAAAGCTGGTGTCTGCGCCTGTATTCACCAATCAGTCACCGCCTCCAAGATCCCCAATCTTGACTTTTCCAATCGTGAATTTCAGCTGTTGTTGTGGCTGAAACTCCTACTTCCTTGCTTTAATCATTACTTTTGTGTTCTTTATCGTTCCCTCAATAGCGGCGACTCTTCCGTCTTTGATTTTCTTTCTTCGAACATTGAACATTTGTTTGCAACCGATCCCAACTGCCATGTTACCATCTTAAGAGATTTTAACGTTCCTAATCCGAACTGGTTGACACATTCATCTGCTACTGCTCCTTTGGGGCACGAAGCCGAACACTTCGCTTTGGTCAACAATCTGAGCCAACTAGTTGACCTCCCCACACGTGTCCCTGATCGAGCTGGCGATCGTGCCCACACCCTCGATCTGATTCTCACTTCGGTCCCCTCTTTTTTCACTGATATTGGTACCCTCACTCATCTCGGCTCATCAGATCATTGCATTGTTTCTTGTTCTATTAGGTTTTCAAACTCCGAGCCACCACTCACCTCGAGACACATTTTGGCGCTACAACTCAGCCAACTGGAACGGTTTTCATGATTTCCTAGCTGCTTATCTCTGGAACGATTGTTGTTTCTCTTCGGATGTTTCCAAATCCGTTACCCACTTCACCCACGTTGTTCTTCAAGGTATGCATCTTTTTATTCCACACTTTTCCAAACCCGGCAAACCCAACTCCCCTGAGTGGTTTAACCATGCACTGGACCGTGCTGTACGCCTAAAACGTTCAGCCTTCCGCCGTTCGTGCCGCTCGTCCNAACCCCCCCCCCCTTTCTCCCCATCGCTTTGTGCAAGCTAGGAACAAACGCTCGACGACCATTCAGAGAACCAAAGAATGCTTGGTTCGCCGTAAAGCCGAAAAATTGGCCTCGTCCGCCACCGGTAGCCGAATATTTTGGTCCCTTGCCAAAGCAGTTTCCCGTAATTTCTGCCCTCCCAACTTCCTCCTATCTGCAACTCCTCTAGTGCTCTTGTATGTCAACCAAACGAGAAAGCTGAGCTTTTGCTACCCAGTTTGCCGCCAATTCCACCATTTTTCTATACCTTCACCTTCCTCCTTCACTGGTAACCCTTTTATACCTCATATCAGCACTAGGAAAATCCGTCAAACATTGCGCACTCTAGACGCAAACAAACCACCCAGTCCGGACGGTATTCCACCCATCGTCCTCAAAATGTGTTCTCCTGAGCTGGCTCCTGTTTTACATCGTCTTTTAGGTCTTTCCCTCCAAATTTCTTCCTCTCCAACCCTCTGGAAGCACGCAGTGATTTTTCCCATTCCCAAACGCGGCGATCTTTCTGACCCCAACAATTACCGACCCATTTCCCTCACGTTTGTTATTTCCAAAGTATTTGAAACTATCATTTCTGACTAGCTACGCACGTTCCTTGAACGTGTGGAACTACTGAGCGACCACCAGTATGGCTTTCGACCGCATCGCTCCACCGGTGACCTTCTGGTTCTTGTCTCACAATCCTGGTCAGCTCCACTCGATAACCTCGGGGAAACACACTTGGCCTCGCTTGGCATCTTAAAGGCCTTCGACCGAGTTTGGCACGAAGGTCTACTGGCGAAACTACCCATGTTCGAGTTCCCTCCAGCGCTCGTAGCGTGGATATCAAATTTCCTCGGTTAGCGAACCATCTCCTTTCGCGTTGATGGGGTTCTATCTCAGCCATTCCCTGTGAACGCTGGTGTTCCCTCAAGGTTCAGTACTTGCACCCACCCTCTTCCTTCTATTTATCAATGATCTCCTTTCCTAAAATGCCAACCCGATCCATTCTTTTACTAATGACGCCCCCTTCCACTGCTCCCTTTCCTACCGCACTGCTCGCCATGCCCAAACCAACATCGATGGTGACCATAGTGCAGTTTAAGTTACTGGACTCCGATCTCGAACACATCTCCTCCTGGGGCATTGCAAATCACGTTTCGTTCAATAGTTCTAAAACCTCTCTTTCAATTTCTCCTCCTCCCCCCCCCCCCCATTCATCTTTTGATTCCACCCAACTGCGTTCCACAGACTCTGTTTCTCTTCTTGGATTGCCTATAACTTCTTTATGCTGGTCCGCTTTTATAACCAAGCTTGCTTCTCGTGCTGCGCGCAGGGTTGCATTTCTATTTCGCGCCAGACGTTCTTTCACCCCAGCTCATCTTCTATTGTACAAAGCTCACATCCGCCCTGCTCTTGAATACTGTAGTCACGTGCGGAGTGGGGCTTCGTCCTCTTCCCTTCTTGATCGTGTTCAACAAAAGGCTATCCGGGTAATCGATGATTCTTCCCTGACATCCAGGGCAGTTGCTTCATTGTCCCCGTTCTACCGCTACTAGTTTGGTTTTTGTTTTTCGGAACTTGCCTCGGCAGTTCCTCTTCCTGCAACTTTACTCATCCATCCTGTACACAGACATCTAGTTATCCTTATCAGGTTTCTATTCCCAGATGTCGTACCTCTCTACTCCAATCTTCTTTTTACCCCCGAACAGCCAAACTGTGGAACACCCTCCCTTTGTTGTTTTTCCCCCAACTTACAATCTTACACTTTTTAAACGCAGAATCAATAAACTGGATCTTACATGAATGTTCCCCTACTCTCCCCTTGATGGTATGCTATTTGCCCGTGGGGATTTCCCCGTTTACTGTAATTCACATTGTGTAATAAAAAAGCCGTTTCTGGGGGGATGAACAGTCAGACCCCCATCACGCCGACACTTCCATCCTCGCTCAGTTACTCATCGTTGCATCCATACTTGACGGACAATGTGCTTGACCCTGCTTATTAAGAGACGTATGGCATTCAAAGCATCAATCACTTTAGGGAGCCCCCCCCCCCCAGTGGATTCACTTACAGTTATGACTTTTGCGCTTGAAGTGGAAAGGTATCGTCACTTAACTGATGTGATATACAGATAGATATTTTAAATTCGCTGCGTGCCTATATATGCCCGGTCCACTTTCCCTACTCTTGTTTATACCCATTAGACACGTCATTCGAACCCTGTCCGTCACTCAATAACCACATTAACGTCATCAAACATGTTCCTTGTACGTATGTCCATGATTGCACTGCTGTGACCTGACGTAAATTTCCGATGGTATTTTATCGTTAATCCACATTCTGTGACCTCTTTCTGGTTTTTGTTTCTCATTGATAGTGTTTTCTTCTATCCCAGACACATTCACTTTTCACGAAATCGATCGCGAATGTCGAATGCACCCAACCAAAGGCTTTCACTTTTCTAGTATTCTTCGTCCATCAGCTTCGGTGACCTGGTAATGTACGACTCGTTCAGGCGTCTTCCAAAATAAGTCCCTTGTTCATCCAGCCCATTAGGTGGCATGTGTCACGATCGAAGCAGCAGTCGCGCTACGGAGTTCCCAATATAATGTGCTCGATAGATTCGCCCAAAGTTGGAATAGTATATGGGGTTGCTCCTTTTTCGTGTAGCTTCGACTAACTTTTACTGATATGCTTTTTGACTACTCATAGTAGTATAATTGTATAAATTATTATATCGATTATTTGGGCTAATAGTTGACTCCCGCGGTAATCGAAATACGTGCAAATCTTGGGTTTTCATCACAGCAACGAATCTATCTCGAGTAGTCGTGATAATTTTTTACCTGTAAGATCTCCTTTGAGGTTTGATAAAACCATTTTGTTTCCTAAACAGGGAATCATTTGAGTAGATTTGCGATATCGGTTAGAGCAGAGCTATTGGGTGGCTTTTTCAGTTCTCTGCATAAACTACCGCAGATGACAACTTAACCGGAACGCCATTTGTATAATATTAGTCGCTAACTGAACTGAATTCCGATTGGGATTTGAAGATGGACAGTTGTTCGACAAATAATATTTGTTTTAAACAGTTTACACCTCAGTCCGAAATTTTGTGTTCCCTACCACGATTCTGATGTGGGTATTCATGGATTAACTTCGGACGCAAACCTTTGTCTTTTTGAATGCAAAACTTCGCGCAGTTTGATTAATTATATGCTCTGCAATTTTTGGTGGATGAGGTTATTTCATTACCAAACCCGGTTATGGCTTCGCCACTGATATAATCACATCTTTGATTGATCAAGTATAAACGAAATCTCTCCATTTTTGCGACAAAACGGTTATTTATCATCAATCTGAGTCGCGTCTCGTATCAAGACAATGTTTGATTGTTCTTCAACGCTCAAGTTTATGTATACTGTCACATTTCAGTCTTTCGTACTTAACGGTTCTAAAGCGTGTTCAACGTACACACAGATATTTGATGTTCAGTTGTTTCACCGAGCTTGGCTACTGTATTCCAAACGTTTCATGACCAATCGAGGTGACATTCTAAACGCAGTTACTACATTGAGAATGTTACCTCAATTGGTGATAAAACATTTGCGATACAATTGCCAAGCTCAGAGAACAACTGAACGTCAAGTTATACTACCCGAGCTACAAAAACAACAGTCAACATCGTTGTTTACAAAACTGTCATACAGATATATAAACATCACTGTCAGAGGCATGCTTCGAGACCTATAGTTCAAGGTTTGAACCCTACCACTGTCGCTCCAATATTGTGATAGGCTTCACTGTCGGCCCACTCAGCACCCACACCTATATTATCTGAATCCTAGACATTTTTGCTAACTCGGGGTTGTTGGTTTCTATGATTACACTTGACTGGTCTGGTTTCAGACCGCTTGTCAAGCAAATCAAGAAAGTGGAACTATAAGTTTAAGGAACGAAAGAACTGTATGACCAATCGAGTGGTAGATGCTCGTAACCATGCGATTCACCGCTTCTACTGATAATCACACGAAATCACGTAATAAAAATGCATTCATCTGATGTGGTCTGCGAGACAGTGTTTCTATGCTGATTGTTATATTCTGGGCGTTTTAATACGGTCTTCATTTGTTTGTGTTTATTTTATCCCTTCCGTTTTCGAATACCTCTTTCTTCGTCACATTTGTGTAATGTTCGTCTGAAATGTGCTCAGGTTCTGCTTTTTCAGTTTGAATTTTACTCAGTTTTTATGTCCTCTCTTTCAGGCACGTTGAAACTACGTGTCAAGCGTTGCGAGTCATCTTGAAAAATTTCGCCCAATTGATACGTCAGACCTTAGATGGACCACCTCTACCGGGAGTGGATTTGATGCGTGAAGAACGGTCAGTTCGGTGCTAAATGCTTACAACCGTTTTACATTTCTGTTTCAAAATTTAGCCGCCTGTCCCGTTTGGTAGGTTCTTACTCAAAGAGTAAATGTAAGGATGATAGTCTAGAATAAAGCTCTTCGAACACGCACACTTATAGATTCATTAAATACTTTGCCTTCTGGAGGCAAATGTACCTTGTTGAGAATGTGACCTGTTTGATTCTGACCATACCGTTTGTTATAAAGGCGTCGGATTAGTCTTGATTCCCAGATGATTGTCTTTCAATAACGTTTCTCGTACATGTAGTGGAATAGAACACAGCTGGATTCTTGGTACAATTCATTTATTGTGCAAAAGATCTGGCTATTTATAGAGACGTTAGGGGACATGGAAATGCCTATAAAAAAACGTTCTCTGTCTGATTCGTTGAAGACTGTCTTGTTTGGTTGTCGGTTCCGATTAATCGCCTGAGTTAGGCTATCCTTGATCTGATTGGTTGTTTCAGAACAAAGCAGTTTTCAGTTATTTCGCTGACTCCCTGACATCGTACTCATTGTTTTAGTCGAATTTGCTTTCTTTTTTTGTCTCTTTATGCGCTCTGATCGTGTACTGTCTTTCTTATGCACATGTAAAGTATCATCTGTTAAACCAAACTGGAAGATTACGAGAGAATATCGAGCTCATGCATGGTCGGGTTGTGTTGTGTTTGCGGTGTTAAATTTTTCAGCGATTTCATTTTGATTGATTTAATCACCGGTTGTGATTCGCATTCCGTCCCACTCTCAATCGTTTAAGTGGTGTGTATTCTGTATTGTTCCTTGCGATCCGTTCACGTCCATTATGTGATTTCCCATCCCGTCTACTTTCAGACAGCGCAAATGTCGTGATTGTCTCGATCATTTGCTTGCTATCCGTTCCGCACTGGATGCGAAGGAGGTGGCTAGTAAGGCTGGAAGATACGGACGAGAGCTTCTGGTTCTCTTCGAACTGCTCGTTTAAATCGCATTCCCCGTCATAGCAATGACACACTCATTCATTGGCCGGTTCCGCATCAGTTCGGGCTGACTCTTTACCAAATCGGGTCCTGATTTCTGGTGTATACGCTTTGGCTTGCTTCTCAGCCTTGCATTTGATATGTAATGACAGTGACCCGGACCTTCCCTCGGTTTGAAAAAAAATGGTCGTAATGACAAACAGACAATAGGCACATGCGCATAATGTCTCTGGGTCCCGTC